GCAAGCCATGAATTGGTCCTACAAATAGTCCTATATTGCAGGACATTTTTTCGGATGCAGGACCGTTTTTCTGGTTGCATTAATTTCTCCCTGTTTCGTGCCTCTGTCCAGCTTCATTATTAAGTGGTATTTATAAGAGCTATTGAGCACAATGATGAGCAGGTCAGATTTAAAGGCAGCTCTTAAACTGAAGCAACTCCAACTTCAGCAAACTTTGATATGCCCCCACATTCCTGATATTTCAAGCAGCGGCTGTGGTGTGAATGAGTCCGGCGCGAGCTCCCAACGACATCGAGATCGAGCGAAAGGCCTCTCCTAGATCCGCGGTCGTAAGAGCTTCATGCACCGACCCTCCCAGCTTCTCCGCTAAATCTTCCAGCCCCATGTCACTTGCTCGTCCGTATCCGACGACAAACGTCCGCAGTCCAAACTTGGCAAAACGATTGCGAACGTCCACCGCCAGCGCAGGTCCTTTCTTGCGATCCGCTGGACGTCCATCCGTAAAGAAAATCATCACTGGCTTGTACACGCTCAAGTTCGTGCGTGATAAAATGGCGTTAGCTTGATTCAAACCATTCGAGTAGAAAGTCCCACCGCCGTGGAAGTCGATACGCCGACTGGGAGCGCTATTGATTGGCACGGCCTCAAACTCAATAATACCTCGAGCACCGAAGGTGACAACCGACACAATATCTTGCGTTACGCCAGTCGCCAATCGACTTCGCAAATATCCACGAACGCCACTCACCAATTCCTGCCACGGTTCGCCTCGCATTGATCCCGAGCAGTCCAATACGAACACATGGTGCACCTTGCCGGTTGGCGACGCATGAGAACAAGCAAAGCGGTGGCCACAGATGTAGGAAAACCCTCTTCGCTCAGTAGTAGAGGGAGTGGAGGCAGGCTGGTGCCAAGCTTCCAAGTCGCAGTAGGATGGCGGCTTACCTTCGCCATTGTGCTCCGCTGCATCGCACAAATACGGACACTTGGCAAACAGTGCACGTTCAACCGCAGATCGGCACGGGTCCTCCCACCCGATCGTTTTCCAGTACTTTTCATGTAGAAGCTCATCGACCTGGTGCTCTGGACGTGGCTTAAGATCGTTGGTGCAGTGACGGCGTTGGTCTTGCAGGTCAGTGTACACACAAGCAGAATCAGTCTCTTTGTCGCACTTCAAGTAGTGCACGTGGCCCCTGCCAGCCGAAGAGCAATACATGTTGCACATTTCAGCAACTCCCTTCTCGCCTGGCAAGTACTTGTGGTCTTCCCATTTGATGACATCATCTTCTGCTACGAAATGCATGTTGCGCATATTTCCATGCGCTACCGAGTGTTCTCCTTTCGTGTCCAACGCGCTTATCGCAATAATACTCACAGGCTTCACATCTCACCCCACATCCGTGAACAGTTCTGGTTCCATTCGGCAGCAGCTTCACACATGAGTGAGTTTTACCGTCGTGGTTTGATTCCCCAGGTTGAAGGACAATCGCACAATTGTTGCGGATTCCTATCATTTGCTTCAGCTCATAGTCAAATGTGTCACGTGACCCCAAAAACTTGTCGATCGAGACCTGAACACTCTTAGCACAGATGCCTTCCATCTCACAAGCTGCATTGCATGTGTGACGCGAGCTGCACAGGTGAATTATCTCTCCAGGTAGCGATGGTTCTGCTTCACACTTTTGATCATTCTCCTCAGCGAATCTCACTCCTAGTTCGGGCTGATCATGGAAGTGATTGGCAGTACTACACCGCTCCTTGCAGCCATCCATCTCACACGCGTGTTTGCACTGCGTTTCGGCGCATTTGTGCACTGTGTGACGATGTTCCGCGTTCAAAATGCATTTGCCACGGCAAATTGTCGCACTGCATAAAGCTCCACACGCGTGTTGCTTCACTGAGCATCGATGATCTCCTTCATGTCCTTCAATCAACACACAGAGCCCACCACAGTTCGAAGCACCTTTCAGACTACACTCCGCCCCACACGTGTGATCACCTTTCACGCAGTCACACTTGCCTTCATGGCCAGCTCTTCCCACGCATCGAGGCATTTCCTTGCCATGTCGATAGTTCAGAGCGCAGTATTCGCAAAGACCGCGACATTGATGACTCATACCGCAATCATGATCCTCATCAAACGAGTGACATACTGACCGCATGCATTGAAGCTGACACTTAGCACAAGTATGGAGACAGCGCTTGAATAGTGCCTCAAACGGGAGAATATACGTCTGCTCGATTTGCTCCCACTCGTCCATGAATCGCTCGGATCCCAAGAACTGTTTGACACTTTTGTTTTGCGACGGCAAACCAGAAATGACAACAAAGCGTCGAAGTTGGCGTAGTCCTTGTCCACAATCTTTTCAAGCGGTCCCTTCGAAATCAGCGCCAGATAACGCTGAAAGAGATTCTGCAGAGTAAAGTGGATAGAACTTGTATTTGCTTGGAAGCACGCTGCAGGTCCAAAATCAACATCTTCATCATCCATCTCACCTAAAGCCACTTCTTGATTGACGATTGCCCAGTTTTCTGAAAAGTCGGGATAGTCACAACAAAGTTGCACCAAATTGAGCATGTACAGTTCAGTGTTGTCGTGCAGCAAAGGGTCTTTCAGGATTCGAGACAGACTTTCGTCTTTCGCTTGAGCCTCTACGGGGATTAAACACCCAGTTCGAATCGCTCCAGGTAGTGATGGAGCTCGTTCATCTCTAGTCGCTGAGAACTCTCATCGACTGCTGTCCAATCCAGAATAGAGATCTTTGCCAGTACCAAACGAATACAATCGTGGAAAGAACTCCCACTCTTGAATCCACGCGATAAATCTGGATCATTTATCAATTCCTCGATCAGTTGTCGAGCGTGTCGAAGAGAATCGTAGTATCCCAACGTTCCTAAAGGTGGAGAACAGTTGATCTTCAGTTGGCCAGAGTACATCTCGGTGAGAAAATTCTTGTCGCGATTAACTGTCACCATCTTCTGGAATTTGTGCTGGAACTCAGAGAGTACACCGTGGCGATCGTTTGGATTGACATCTTTCACACTCATGTACAGCTTTCCTTGGAAAAGTCTTTCGTCACTCTTCAGCAAATTGATTCCTTTCTGGAACTTCGTGAATAGACCGTCGATGTCCTTATCGAAGCGCATTTCCATCCGGAAAATTGTGAACATTGACAAAGAGGCATTCAGCACTGACAAGAACACATCCTCTTGGTCAGTACGCTCGAAAGAACCCAAGCCTTCGAAGTCCAACACGACAAGCAACATATCTTCCATGATACGCAGAGTCATCCAGGCACCATCCGTGCAGCGGTTCCCGGCAATAGCGAACGACGATCCCGTCAAATGGTTCAGGAAGTAACTCTTTCCTGTCGACTGCTTCCCCATTGATGTGATCACTGCACAGCGACCTCGCCAGGCGCATAGCAGAGGAGATAGGAGGCCGAATCGAATCGACTCGGCGATATCTGCTGCTCCCCATGCTTGTATCTCGTCTTCTGGCTCGAGAGACTGGTCCATACCATCATAAAGCACTGTCAGTGCGTTCCCCTCGGCACGGCAGATTTGAATCGGCAAGAATGTGATGAGCGCCTGAAAAAATAATTTCAGCGGCTTCGATTTCATAGTCACTCCACCCAGTGAAGACCTCACGGCGAGACCGCTGGTTAGATCTAGTCCATACAACGGTTTGTTAAGTGCCATCAAGTCGCTCATCAATAGCGACAGGAAGTCGTGGTAATTCTCAAGCGCAGCATTCGTTTCCTCGACACCAGGACAAGCAACAAGAATCGACACGGGTGATGGTACTTCAACATCCAGCAAGCCACGCACAGGGAACTTCTCGAAAACGTGGTAAAATGTGTACAGCCAATGTTGCTTGCGCGGGCAATCTGCATTGCTTGCATCACTTTCAGTATTCTTCGAACCCGCATTATCGGACTGCCGCATTCGGTACGAATCACTGCGTACAGTCACCTGGATCGAAAAGAAATACACCTTCTGTGCCAACGGATCAAGTACAAGTACTCGGTCGTCGACATGTTGGACACTCACCCGGTCAGTGAGGAACTTGACGCCAAGACTCAATGCTGGAAGGTGACGATGGTCGTCTCGAGAAACACACTGCAGAACTCCTTCGAAGGCCCCGTCATCGCTTGGTACACACGACACCGCTCCGATAGCGAGGTTGTCCGCCAGTTCTAGCACTCGGCTGCACGATGAAGGTATCTCGTCTTGATCGTGTACATTCACGACATTGGACGTTTGGTCATTGTGAATGTCAACACCTTGCGAACGTCCACTCGAATCAGTCACGTACACGGTGCTGTCTAGCAGCATAACGTCTCTGAATGGCAAATCTGCCAGCGTTGAGCGCACGCCCAAGTCGACGTTTTTCATGAGCTCCATCTTCTTAAACGACCCGTCAAGCTTGTAAATCCCCACCGAATCCTCTGAGAGAAAGGTCAGAATTCTGTTGCGGGCATCGTAATCGCAAAGCGAAGCAAACTTTCCAAGCGTGTGAATGACCCTTTCATTCGCACGTGACGGTCTACGGGGATCCGTGCTCGGTGGGAAGTAGATGAACTTGACGCACATGCGTTGTGTGCCAGTGACAATTTGGATTACGGACCGCACCTTAACAGTAAACATCGCCACATGATTTTCGCCCGGGTTTAGAAGATGCCGACCCAGCAACTCCTGGCGTCTCGGCTTTCCTTCTTGCATATCCAGCTTGACAATATCCTGGAACGCACAAGACTGAGCATACACTTCCTTCGAACCCTCGCAATAGACAGTTCCTCGGCCATTGGGACAAGCGCTCATTCTAAACAGCAATCCATCTTTCGATAGCAGAACTTCACGCAGCTGGTCGAACTTGCCCCCTATGATCTTGCCGTACCAAGCCGCCTTACTTTGCTTCTGGTTGCACTTTAGCTCTTTGAGTTTCACGTCATTTGCTGCTGCGAAGACACTTTTTACAGCAATCCACCATTTTGTGCGCAGCTCAGCCAAAGGTTTGGATACTTCCTCCAAAAACGATTCCCACGTAGGCTTCTGCGCTCCCATGTTCACGTCGGGATTCGAGTTCTTCACTTTGTGCTTGTTCACAGCTTTCAACAGGTTCGACTTCGAAGTGGTGGAGCACATTTCCAGTATCTTGATTAATTCGCCAGTATCGTAGCACGATGAATTGGTGAGAAGCATTGCCTCAACTTCTCTTAGGCGCTCAGGCACGTCTAAGATCAATTGAATCTTCTTGTCAAATTTCCAATGGCACGTAGACTTGACCCACTCTCGAAATGCCTCGTAAGCTGACAAGGCTGTCTGCAGTGAAGTACCCGAAGCTTCATTCACAGTATCTCCCACGTGGAGTCGGAACAGTTCATTCGTTACTTGATCCACCATGGCTCTCTGTTCCGCAATTTCCTCTTTCAGCGTCTTTGCAGCCAGATCGTATTCTTCTTGCTCTTGTTTCTCTTGAGCTTCACGAGCAGCATTTATTTCATCCTCAGGCCACATATCAAACGCCTTCAAGATGTTCTGGCAGAGCTTAACCGATCGGACAATTCCTGGGTTCAACTCAATCCGACAATGCTGCGATTCAGCTTTAAGCCACTCCGCAAAGGGCACCTCCACCTGCAGGCGAAATAAACGTCGAAATGGCTCCGTTCGGATCACTGACGTCATTGTCCTCGTGACAGCTATCGCTGGATAACTTCCCTTTAGCAAGCAGATATTGGAGTAGTCTTCAGGGAGTGTCTCCAATTCCACGGAGGTCATTGCCACACATGACGTGCTATCGGGTTGATCCTCTTGCTTCTCGATATGGAAAGACACCGAATACGAAGACAACTCGTCGTCTTCCTGCTCCTCCGAAGCAGCCATCGCTGCCGCGACTTGTTCCAGATCGGATTTCGACGTGCAGCATATAATATCCGACGTCAACCCAGTCAGAAATCGCAGTACGAATGCTGGAGTATCACGAAGCCCTTGCGGCTCAAACAGCTCGTCACAGATCCAAGGGAACACCACCAAGCCAGCAATGTTGCCAACCCCGTTACACTGTCCCTCGCTGTGTTCAGGTTTGACCTTTACACAGTATATCCCTTCACTTGCCCCAGCAAGTATGCCAACTGCATTGACAAAGCATGCTTTCATGTCGACTAAGATTTCCGCTACTTGTGCTTGCTTGCCGAACACACCCTTCAATTTCACGTCTCCAAAACACGCGTTTTCGAACAATTCGAAACGCAGAAAGCGGATGAAATCGTCATCGAACTCTCGAGCGTGTAAAACGTTGAAATCAAAATCTTTGGGGTTAACCGACGACATCATCCCGAAGCTACGGCACATTCGCATGACTTCCAACTCGTCCAGCACTGGTTTCACCACTTCCCTCTCGCACTGGGTCTCACGAACGAGTTTCATCAGTCGGAAGAGGTTATCTCCACCCGAAAATTTGCCCCCTTCGCCCGAGTCTGCGCTTCGAGAGGGAAAATTAGCACCTTCGTCAATCTCCATCTTCGCCCTGAGCTCGCGACTACAAATTGGATTTTGAGAACAATTCCCAGTCCGACGTATTCGTGTGGGACCATGCGCTGCCAAAAAGAACAAAACCATCTACTCTGACCTGGACACAAAAATCACTCATATATACAAGTTACAATTACAAAACTGAATCTTCAGTCAGCCAAAGGCGAAGTTGGTGGCTCAACTGGCGCCGTTGCCGCTGCGGGAGTCGGAAACGCAGCCATTCTGCGCTCGCTGGCGTCTTTATGCCCAAATCAAAAACGGTGGGTTCCTTGAGACTTTCTTCAACTGCCTCGATCGATTTCAACGGTGTTCGAGCCAACACGACTTGATTCTGTGCACCGCTCATTCCCACGACATACACGCACTCATTCGAACACACAACCGTCACTTGAACCAGGCGATGCGTAGTATCACGTGGCAGTAAAAGGTCTCGAAGTGGTTCCAGAGTTTCCAACTGCTCTTCTGAGATGTAGTCAAGTTCCTGCTCGGGAACGAGCAAGGTATTCCCATCCGGGATAACCCAAATACCGTGCGCAAAGATCAAATTGCTTCCAATTGCATCGGGTAGTACCTTCAACTTGTACCGCAGAAGTTCGTTAGGTCTTGCATCAAACCGCGAGGCGGAATCATCAAATGGTGTACGGCTGCCCCCCATTCCATATAGCAGTCCATCTGAGGTCATTGACACTAGCGACGCAACACCACCCATCGGACGAGCAACAATACCCACCAGCCCCATACCAACACCGCCTACCACGTTTCGTATTCCAGTATCGAGTCCTTGCATCTGACGCTCCTTGTAAACTGCAATTGGAGTAGTAATTACTCCAGCTGCTGCACCAACAACACTTGATCCTAGAGACCCCAAGCCATCTGCAAGTGCTGACGACAAGTGCGTTGGACGCGTGTAGTGGCGCTTTCGTAGCTGATCAGGCGGTAGCGTCAGTTGATCCATCGTCCGCGAAATGGAATACGAGAATCCAGACACCGACGTCAGCGTTGCTGCCGTTGTATGGCCCAAAAAGGAGGCGACACCGCTCACCACACCCTTCGTGAGTACCCACGGACTGTAGCCGTTTCTAGAAGCAGCCAAGGGGATCTCAACCAGATCTCGAATTCCTTGACCGAAGCTCCGAAGAAAGCCTCTGCATGACAAGATTGTCAGCCACCACTGAAAAGATCAACAATATACCTGCACAAGTACTTACGCTGGGTTGCCAAGAATGTTCAGCGACATCAATAGCATCGGCGAGCGGACGATCGTGTCAGCCACGTAGTCTGCTGCTAAGTCCTTGATCAACTGGTCGGGGAAAGAAAACACCTCACGCATCTCGGTGGATGCAAAATGCAGCGGTGTGCTATCAAAACTGTTGAGTACAGGAATCGATACGCGCGCTGTGATCGTCACTTGCAGGTTGCTGATTTCCAGCCACTCGATATACACTCTGCGCTGTGTCGTTACCACTGCTGATTCATACGCATGTAAGCTCCAGACGTCAGCACTTGGTGCGATATTCCGGCAATCATCGTCGTGCATTGCTCCCACAGCAAGCTCTCCCTCAACTGCAGCAATTAGCGGCCGCACAAAAGCGTTCACGTACGTCAAGATGTCATCTTCGACCTATAGTACTCACACACCAAAAAGTTAAATAGACAAATAAATTTATACCAAAGCGCAAAGCGTACCTGGAGAACGGCTGGGGCTAGTTTCAGCTCTATGCTGTGGAAATAAGTCGGAATATCAATTGGGTCCCATGTATCCGTGTAGATGACTCTGGTGACTAAGCACGCATTGTTAGCACCGGGAAGTTGCTTGTCGAGTAGCTTATCCATTAGACTTCCCAGTCTTTCGTGCTTCTTTACTCGATCAAACTGAAGCAAGTTCTTTGACGCATGCGCTTCAGCGAAGTGAAGGATCACCGGGAAGTTGCAGGTTTGTAGGAAATGCCCCACTTCGATGTCTTCAACTGCAACGAACAGAGTTGTGTACGATCGAATGTGCGACAGATAACCCAAGCGAGTGCTGTGACGAGAAACTTCTGGCGGATCGGGAGCCGTTGCAAATACAATCGACACAGCGTTGCAGGTCGCTCGTAGGATCTCTGGGTACAGAATCATCCCCCTTGCATCCCGTAGAGGATCGTGCTCGTCGCAAAAATGAAGAGATAGCTCCTCCACAACCACGCCGACTTTCAAGAATGCTGGAACCGTTTGCTCTGCTTTCACTGGAGATGCCACGGAAGGCAAGACCAATGACGGCGTAGGATTTACCTGACCATCATGCGTCGGATCCTCCAGGCAAGTGACGGAAATCAGCCATGACCCTGCTCGATAAAAGCACATGACCAAGAATGTGGGGCCAGGCTTGGCACTTGCACTACCGTTTTCTGTGCTGAACGATGCAAACTGGATTCCACCAACTTGCCACAGCGAATTAGACCATCCGTATTGTGGTGATCCGATCTGGAACCGCATGCGCTCACTGGCTGTAGTGTCAGGTATGTCGGCGTTCGCAAGGGATTGCGATGGAGCCTCTAACCAATCACTTAGCAACTTGCTCTCTGGGTCAACCTCCATATTGTTGGTGTCGTTCTCTTCTGTAGTGGCCGTGCGGTGCTTCGCGGAAACCTTTAACAAAGCATCAATTAGCAAACAATAAAGCAATCTCAACTAAAACAAAATATATCGTACCTGGAGACCCCAGTCATATTCCAGGTAAAAATCCGCTCCAACACCCTCTGGATCCGATGGAAATGACACGTTTCTGAAGCCCAGCGTGCTTTGCCATTGGTTGTGGATGATCACAGGAGGCTGGTGGTCCACAAAGAACATAATGTGGATAGACTTCTCCTTCTGGGTCATGGTGTAGGTCAGCATCTTGTGTCTGAAGCCATGGTGGCGGATCAGCAGTCGTCTTCGGTACGTCGTGGTAGACGGGGCTGAATACAGACCTTCTTGTGTGTTGGTTGGTGCCGACGACGATGTCTCCGGCTCAACAATTCTCAATTTGCCGTCTGAAGTGAGCAGTAGAGGGATCTTCGGGAGCAACACTGCTATTTCATCGGTCCACTCGTACCCATCTTCCACTAGAGTCACTCGGAAAGAGCATGATAGTCTTGCCACCAAAGCTTGCTTTGCCGCATTGGACGGGTCTTCGCTTGGACGCCTCGATAGTTTTGAGCTTAACCAAGACGACACATCCGCTCTAATACTCCGCTTCTTTGCTTCCTTATGCAGACACACAGGAACACTCCAGCCAGCATTGCTGCCCGAGACCACCTGCGCATCAAATATACAACAACAACAATTAGCGCTACCTCGTCTCACCGTCGAACCGATCTCATTTCAGGAATAAACGTACCGATACGTTTTCCTCTTCAACAAGTGAGTTTCCTCGCCCGTCTGTGGGGACACATTTCAAGTCACAATTCTTATCGCAAAAGAGTTAGCTTTCAGGCAATAACGATAGTTACAAGCGTTCCTTACCGTTGAGTTGATTACCACAACTTGTGGACGGATGATCAGCTTCAGATATCCATCGGAATTCACCAATTCGATGCAGTACGCACTTGCCAGGCTCCTCAGTCCTGCCTGCGCGGGTGGCACAATAATCGGCTTTGTGTCTCCATTCACATTCAGTGAGACTCCTGGAGACCATTCAATATGGTCCGATGAGCTGCTCGAGTCTTCGATTGTTGCGATCGCAATCACCAGACGATTGCTGGCCACTGCGAAGCCAATGGACCGCTCGACGCATGAATCAATCCTCTCCAGAGCTCCTTGGTTTCCCAGAGGGCTGCCGATACTAATGTTCAGATCGCTCGGCGTCATGTTGGCAACGCTGAGAATGCGTTCCGTTCTTATCCGGATCATCGGCCGATGGTCACTGCAAAAGCTAACAACCACTTTGCAGCCTTCAAAGACGAAAATCTGGCCCTTCGAGTCTCCCGCAGATCTGCACTGCAACAAAAACTTCAGCGGCTTCGAGCTGCTCACGCCTTGTCCATACTGCAGCTGAGCATCTACCGGCTCAAATGGGTTGATCGTAGACAGACTCTTTTCACTTGCGGCAGATACTTCAAGATTGACAGTTGTGAGCTATTAAAGAAAAAAAAAATGTCAGTCTGCAACGTGAAGGGGCCAAAGCACAGCGTAAACTTACCTTCTGTGATAAGCTGAGAGTTACCGGGATATCCAATATGTTCTCCACCGTGATTGCAGGCCACAACGACATTTCCATCCACGTGTATCGCCCGGACAAATGAGGCCGCAATGGGTCAAAGTCCGTAGGGAGTACAGTCTTGCACTGCACGCGAGCAATCTTCACCCAGACGTAGTGAGTCTGTTCATCTGGACTTTTAGGGTGGAGGGTGGTGAACTTGCAATGAGTTCTTTTGGAGGATTCCGCTTCGTTGTCACTGATTTTCACCAGATCGAATTCACTTGGGATTCCTTCTAGTGTCTCCAGATCACACCAAGAACCACCTTCGATACCAAAGCTAACTGTTGTCATGGACTCCGCCATGATACAAGAGACGCTGCCAGCGTTTCTTGCCGACGAAGAAAGAGTGCAAGCTGACCCATCCAGCGAAACGCAATTGAGATGGTGGTTGACGCTTCTTCGAATTGCTGGTGCGTTTCGGTAGAGCTCATCGGATCTGGTACAGCTATATTCAGGACCGTCCTTATTTACTTTGACCCGCACAGCAAAGTCGCAGTAATTACGAGCAGTCAACGATGAGCGGAGTGTGACAATCGTTAGTAAACCGCTCAATTCCACGCAAATCCATACGAAGCCGTGACCATCAAAATATCGTCCGGTGACACCGTTTTCTTTGATCCTACACGGATCACACCAACGGGGGTCCTCCTGTTCTGATTGCACGCTATCAGTGAGCTTGTTGTCGCTGCGTTTCTTCCGTGGATCGTCTAATGCGAAGCGAAGCTGGTAAAACGGGTTACTTGCCAGTGAGAGCCAACTATAAGCTGCACTAGCATCCGCAGGTAGGACCAAACACTCGGAAGTTCCTTCTTGTCGATACCAGATATCCACACCAGTGTGATTGACAACTCGTATGCGCATGCTGGACATTCTTTCGTCTGGATTTGCGGTAATAGCCTGGGATTGCTTCGAGTCCTCTTGCAGAAGTTTTGGGATTGCAAATATTACAAGCATCGCCGTCTGATTCAGGTACAGGGAGACGGGGCCAATCAGTGTAGAAACCTCAAGCCCCTTTGAAGAAATCTCGACCATCGCGTCAACGGTTGTCCGTGGGATAACCGATACAGTCAGCAGCTGAGCCATGTTGTCCAGATACATTTGTAGTACAGAAGATACTCGCACATTTAGTTTTCTCGCTGGGGCGCCTCCGGAAACCGCACAAGAAATCTCTGTGTCGTTGAGCTCCGTGGTAATGATGTCGTGGCATTCGTTTTCAGGACCGGCGTGGCTAATAGACAAAGTAACTTGCGGAAGCGTGACACTCGAAACCACACGTTGATAGGCATCGCAGGTCAAAACGGAATGCACTTGCAATGACGAAGCAAGCAAAGCATTCACGACAAGCCGTTTTTGATTGTTCTGCATAGTACACACAGGGTTAGTCGTCCAGTAATCTCCGCACATATTCTATACGCACCTCGGGCTCCTGTTCACTCTGTAGTGGAGCTCTCCATCTTAGCTCCCAATTGTCGGACGGAAGCTCGTTATCGAAAGTGTACGCTCTTGTTCGCGCGCCAAACTCGAGCATCTTCGATCGATACCGAGTTTCCTCCATGTCATCATCAAACCACTGGCTCATCAACTCACCAAAGCTCCCCGGTTCGTTGGTATCTTTCCTCTCGCCAGAGCCCGCACTGGCTGCCGTATCTTCCCACGGAACGAAGAACTCGCAGACAACAACATAGCACGATTTCTTGCTATCCCAGCATCTCAATTGGCAAAGAATGTCACAATGCCGACTCGCGCCATCTTCTTGATCCTCATTCCAATTCCATGATGGCCAGCCACTTGGAACTCCATTAGGAGGGATAGGCACAGGGTTTGCCACAATCTTACAAACCTTGCGTGGTATGTGGTAACACCAGCGCATTCCCATCCAGCTGTGCGTCTTGTTACTCAAGCCTGCGTGTGAAGACCGCTCTCCACTCGATTCGTGGTCTTCCATGTCCCATGGCTTGTTGCAGTCCACGAGAAAAGCTGCTACGTCAGATAACACGATATCGAATATGTTCGGGTCAATATGAACTTGGACTTTAGTATCAACCACGGGGAGAGCCGAACCCGATACAACACTTTGGGTTTCAATCAACAGGGACTCCGTAAATACGAGCTCTCCAGGTAATGGTCGACGGCCTTCTGCCATCCGCCGCAAGTTCTTAAAATCATCGCTGAAAAATCCATCCACGTTATCAGCGGTACTGCTCTTGTGCATAACAACCTCACGCGTGTAGCGTTCATCAGATAAATCTTCAGTCGAACGATCGAGGCGTTTACCGCTACCAACATATAATAGTGACTGTACCGCTGCCAAGGAAGGTGATGAAAGTTTCACACACAGCTCGTTCACCTCAGCTTGGATGTTGGTCCGTGCCATCTCAGTGTACAGTAGGCAGACTCCAGCTTCACCAATGACAACTCGCTCCAGCATGTTATGCTGATCTCCAGTGACTCGAACGCTGCAGTCGTGCAGCAAACGCTGAGCCTCGGACACACCATTAATATACTTCGAAAACTGTTGCCAGATGCTGGAAGTGTGCGAAGGACCCGGGCCGACGGAGTCTCTCAGAAAAAAATGAACCTCCAAAGGAGGCAAGTTATTGGATGTGTTCAGGCCGAACTTGTCCATATTCAGCATCATTTTCAGTGTGGGGACAGCGACAAAGCGATTAATATCATTGACAGCAAGACCATACGCGCGCAATGACTGTTGAGCCATTTCATCGGTTCCAACCGCAACGCTAGCGAAAAGCTGCCCAGACTTCATCCAAATACCTGACTTTCCCTTGTTGGTGGTATTTTGTCTCCAGTACGACATCACACTCGGAGCTACGAGAACCTTGATATTCCATCTCTGCTGCAACACGAATAACTTGCGATCCATCGGTTGGCCACCACTTTTATTAGCTTTCTCCCTCCACGGGTCAGAAATTGACAAATCCGGTTCGATACAAGAGAATTCAGTCAACGCCTGGATCAAGTGGTGCGATACGTGAAGCTGATACGTTTGTACATTAAGGAAGAGTGTTCCCTCTGAACGATCTCCAAAACTCCATCGTGCAGCGATCAACTTCTCAGGATAGTTCTCCACAGCTAATTGCCACAAGCTTGGGTCCGCGTTTGCCCCAAAGACGACTCCTTCTATTGCGACGGTCTTAGAAGTAGGATTTTCGTTAGTACGATGACCCACCACCAGATTCTGGATAGAAGCACTGCCGGACAGGGTCGATGAATTGTGCGCAACGATTATGGAACCAACGCGAATATGCGTGGAACTACCCACTGTGAACACATTTATCTCGATTCCATCGCACGAAAACGCCACTTCTCGCTGGTGTGTGCATGGAGGACCTGGATATACCTCCGATGACCTGCTCAATTGAATTGGAGTCAATTTCACCTGTGGTGGTGCTCCGATAGATCGTAGAAGAGAATTTATCCCTCGAGTTATACCCACAACCCGCGAGACCAACACGTCGAACGATGGTTTATGCAGATCGAGTCGCAACTTGGTGAATGCGATGCTTGCGGTTGTTTTCACTCCTGCATCGTTGGCTTCAGTTTTAGCCAGAGGTTCCTCTTCAATGCTGCACGTTACGTTGAGCGGCGACCAGAACGTATTCGCATTAACGAAACGCGCGGAACACCCTACAGCATAGCCGATGTACTCTTCAAAAGGCCCAACAACATCGAGAACACCGTTGAGAGCTAATTCTCCAGCGTGCAAGTCCAACTCGGCAACAAATCCAGAAATCTTGCCAGCTCTACACCCAATTCGAAGCTGCGACTGGCCAAACCGTTGTGCTTGAAGAGTAGGTCGCCTCGGTAGGATTCTAGAGTTGAATGGAGGATATCCTAATCCATCTAGCGATATGTCATTTCGTATGGCAGATGCCAACGACATCGATTCCAACACCACCACCACATTTCCTGGCACCACCGATCGTTTTGAAAGCATAGAGTCCACCATACTTTCATTTGGGAGAATCAGACGAACTTGACCAAATAAAACAGACACCTCAACATGCGCCAAGGATACTCTTGGAGTTGCCTTCGACCTCGGATCAACGGGTTTGCCCGTGTCAGTAGTTTCATTTGACACGGGGGAGGGATCCGTAAATCCTCTACCACGCATATCCAACGCAGAAGCAAGACAATATAAGCTTGATGTAGTGACGGCAATGTCCACATTCTCCACAGATCCAGCGATAACATGGTGAGGAAGGCCAGCTTCACTGTAATTGCGGTAAAATCCTGACAATAGTGGAAATGCGTTTGCAGTCTTCGCTGACGCACGGTCGTCCCGGGTTATGATTAGAGGGATTTCAGCAAAGGATTGCTTTCTATCTGCCTCGCGTTGCCGCCACTCAGTTTTCCCTTCCAGGAACGTTTTGGCAATGCTGCTTGCTAAATGCCACGATAGCATAGCCGACGGTAGGGATTCTAAATCGATAATACTGGCGCTGGAAACGTGGAAGGTCTCCGATATGCATTTCAGTTCAGGCAAGTCGAGGCAAACCAAAATCCCCATAAACGCATGCTCCGGCAAACGTGAAAATTCACCGAATCTAGTGCGAACCCCTCGCCGTGCGTTTTGAAGTTTTTCCACCACTTGAATATCTCCAATGGATGCCTGAATATCAGTGAACTGATGTCGCGGAGCTTGTTGTTGCTGATTCTGAGTGGGGTGGTAATTGCCAATCCGTGTAGCTACACCGATGTTGAGCACCTTCCCGTCTACAACCGTTCGAATTTGTCTCCTTCGGCGGGTTGAGCGGTGGTAAATATCAGCCATGCACGAGAACTCTGCACGATCAAGCTGAGCTCCTAGCCTCCAATACCACCGACAACGCGAAGCAGCTTTAGTGTCATCCTCGCGCTTTCCAGGTTCCTGCGAATGAGATACTACAATCGCCGGCGATTTTCTTGATTCAACTTCAGACTCGATGAACGGGAGTTTTAGGAGATACACAAGCTTCACGCAACAAATGACAACATCAACATTAGTACCTAGCAACAGGAACGGTGTTAGAATAACTTTCAGTTGGACGTAATGTACCTTTAGGCGAGATAGTGATGCTTTGATACTCGATACCTGAACCGTAGCATCAATCCCGTAAGAATGACGACAGTCGACGTATCTGTGTGAGAAATCCACAGAGATGCCAGCGTCGTCAATACTAAATATGGTTGGATCCTCAAGACCTGCGAGAGTCCCGCAATCTGATGCACGCAATGTTGCACCTTTCGTAGAAAATACGAGCTTGAGTTCTCCCCCAGGTTTTACTGGTTGTGTTGACCCTGTATCCTGCTCGACCGATGATAGTGACAGTAGAGGAAGCTTCAGTTGGAGTGCCTCGTTCACACGTACATCACCCCCGGCAGCTTTCAGATCTATGGTACAACTCCAGCCGGTTAGGACACTGTTCGCTGCATCTCCCTCTTTTGCATCCTTTTCAGAACATTCTAGTGTCGTTATCGATTCTTTTCTGGCCGGTAAATTTGCCAAGATTTCTCTCACGAGACATAGAACAGCACCTATGAGCTGAGTTAAACCTTGCATATCCAACAACACGTGTGCAAGCTGCGCTTGGACAGACAGCTGACACTGCGTAGAGCTACTTGTAAGCAAGCCGGGATTCAGGGTAAACAAGCCAAGCGAGTTCAACAGCGGCACGACATTCATTCGACCAGATGCCTTTTCCTGCGAAATGCCAAACGTGAAAAATGGGGAGATGGATTCAGATCCTCGAATCGCCATTGGAGCAACACCGCCTTGGAGTATGGGGTTCTTGCCTTCTGCCGCCTTCAACGCGACACTAACGGACGCTATCTCTCCGCTAAGCGACTGACGCTGAGCCATCACTAGCCTGGGTTGATTCGAAACAATTCTGGAGAAACCAGCCCGGCCCACCTCAATCTGAAACGAATTGTGCAATCGTTTTGAGGCCAAATGCATTGGCTCCCACGCAATAGGATATCCGAGAGGGCCGACTACTCTGTTTACCACAGTCGTAGCTTCTTGTGCGGCAGTTAAGCTCAAGTCGATCTTTAATTTGATCAGACTTACGAACAACCCGTCATTGTCACCTGCATCGGCAGAGCTTTCGGTGGTCAGCAGCTCGAATCCCAGCGCTTCAATCAACGGGAAAATGGCAACATCATTATTGGTTTTTTCCAAATGAGCAGTTAGAGCACCAAGCTGTAGATGATTCTTACTGCTGCCCGGATGAAAACTCCCCTGCCACGTAAAATCGTTCCCAGCCAAGTGCAAGCCACCACGAGAACACACTCTAACAGAATCCTGCCCTGAGTCTGCATGCATGCCAGGCACTAAAACATGCACTTCGCTCGCCGTAATCAACTTGACATCACTCTGCACAATAGTCTGAATATTCGATACCACGTTATCGTTAGATAGCGTTGGCGTCTCACCACGTCCCACGACTTTATCCTCGCCATCTTTCTTCTTACGCATGAAAATCGAAAGGGCTTCCAGTATCTCCACACATTTCGGAGGCTCCAAGACAGCTTGTGCCGCGCCAATCGATATGTCCAACGCTTTCGAGACTGTTTCCTCCTTGGCATGAGCGTCAGGTGACGATACATCTCGCTCAATAAAATTCGACATTAATGCTGAGCGCAAGCGAAGAGCCGAATGAACGCTTCGGTGGCGAATATTAGGAGAGCCAGACGATGGATGGAGGGAGGCTGCTGAACATGAATGCAGCATATATCGAGCAAACAGAGCGACCAATTGCGGCTGGAGCAGCTGCATTAGATTGTCCAGTGCCCCCAGGTCTGGATTGCGATGTACTCGATAATCATGTGCGGCTGAACTCAATGAACGGGCCACTCCATCAGAGATTGAAATAGGAAATCCACTAGAAGCCCAGGCTGTCGACACGGCATTTGATAAAATCCCCTCATCGAGGACTCGTTCCTTAATCCCAATCATCCTGGTTGCTTGTTTACAAATTTGAGATATCGTGGAAATTGGAACGCAGCGAATGTTTTCGCCATTCCATGTCGTAAAGCACTCACACGGGGAATCCGAGATCCCGTCTGAGTCTCGATCAGCGTCTGAAGTTTTCCAAATGGGAATGCCAGTATCCAGACTTACTTTAACAATTTCAAAACTTCTGCTTTCACGCTGACTCAATCGCGTTGTTTCCTCTCCAAAGAATGAATTGATGAAATACGGGTGCGACACGCAGTTGGAGAAGTGAGACGAATCGATCGAGCCCCATGTGAGCAGCACCTCTCCTTTCTTGCACTTCAAATCCTCTCGATTTTCACTGGGTGTAGCAGATACGAGCTCCACCTTTTCGACTTCAAACACCACGTCCGTCCCGTTTCGCTCTTGTCCGCGTGCCACTAGCATTTCGAGTGCTACATAACTGAGTGTCAAGTGGAGAATTGGCACCGCCGGTCGAGCGACCTTTTTCTTCTTCGTTTGAAGAGAAACCTTGACCATGCCGAGATTTGCAACTGGGACAAACTCTTCTCCGTCTTCCACAACTATAGAATCTTGTAGCTCCACCTCCACTTCCTTTTCATGCTTACGCAGAGTTAAAGAGGCTGAGCTGACACACACTCGCACACACGAAGTTTTTGTGACAAGATCACAGGGAGCCAGCGTATCTTGATCAGTATCACTCACGGGCGGTTGGCCTTTTAGCAAAGCTCCTCTTGTTTCGGCAAGTAGCTCAGAAACTAACTCATCCTCTTCCCCGTCTTCAGCTGCACCGAGAGCGTTCATTGCCCAGCCAAACCACGATTCTTGCTTCTTAGATGCGGTGTCCACTTTTAAAATGTCTTTCTGGGAGACCACGGCAGGAATAGTAGGCACAGCGGTGGGGTCGGCCTTGACGCCGCCATTCTGTACGTAGTCACGGTTTCGTGTTTGGGAAGATAGCTCGTGAGCTTGGTCTATCTTGCGACTGGCGCTCTGTATCAGTTGGTTCAGCATCTCTAATTGTCTATCGCTGACCGAAAAGAACAGCTCGCCGATAAAAATGTCCACCTCGTACATGGGGGTCACACGTGAGCGGTTGCACGAGTAATAGTAAAACGGGTCACACAGCACAGATGGCTTGTACGCGAATAATCCATCCATATCTATAATACTTCCTTCGTCACGGACACCGCTCGCCGTAGAGCGTTGCTGATGCAAAGGAGACGCAGGAGAGGCTAAGTTGCTTCTTGAGTCTCCTTGTCCATTCATCGCAGCATTAGGGAACAGCTGCAACTTTGCTCGGACGGAAGCCGACGTTCTGCTCAGCACTGGCACTTCGTATCCAATCACCTTCCGTCGCACAGAGTCCTGTCTTCCGCCGTCTTTCGTAACTCCATCATTTGTGTATCTATCGAGAAAAATCGTGACGTCTTTGGCATCGATCCTTTTGCAAATGGCTCGTCGTCCTCCTTTCAGCTCCTCAAAACTGCGTTTCCAGCTCTCTTTCTCATTTGCCGAGTAGAAGTCAAGCGTCTGCACCATAAAATCCACACAAAGCAATGGTAAGAAAGGCTTTAATGCAATTTCGCACTGAAAAGAGGCCGTTGCCGCCTTACCCCCAGTGCGATGGAGAACACGACATCGTCATTCTCGTACTTGAGCACGAGGTTGTTGACTTGCACGCTAATATTAGCCAGGATTCTCTGCAACGTGTCGTTAATCCATCCGGACTTTGGCTGCTCGATCTCAGGCTCTCTATCAACTGCTGTGTCCACCGAAGCGGCTCTGGCTGATCTGTTCTTGCCTGTTAGGATGAGCTCAATGGTGTAGAGCTTCACTTCGATGGGCTGAGAGAGTAACTGCGTCCACGGGATGTGGATACGAAGCTCACGGATGAAACCACGCGAAAAGTCGAAGCTTGAAGGGATCTCGAGACTCTCGCGCAATACGTGGCGCTTAATCTCCAGGTCATTGAGCACCAGGTCGCCCCCGAAGAGACCCAATCCTTCCAGCTGGATGTCCTCGATGTACTTGCTCAGGTAGAACTGCAGGTTCTGCGCAATGTAGCCGCGCAGAGGTGACAGCAAGTCCAGCATCGGCAATGCGGGCACCGCTGCTGTCTTTATGACACGTTGCACTCAGTTTTAGCCAATAGAAAAGCCATGTGGATTTATGTGCAAAACACAAGGGAAAGTTGAAGTGAAGAGATGGCTAATCATCAATGGAAACCAAATGGATACCATTGATAGCAGAGAGAAGCAGGAGCATAAAAGCTTTCTAAGTGGCTTGGCAGTGCATGGATGTTGCATTGCTTTCGTGAAAAATGGATGAAGTAAACGACTAATACAGAAGTGTAATTTACTAATATGAAAACTACAGACTTTCGTGTCTTGGATCTCTATGTGTAAGTGAAAGCCTGTACACACTGCGATGCGCTTCAATTTGGGTGATTTGTGACACTGGTAACAAGCTCAGTCGCTCCATTCGCCTTCAGACCACCACATTTCAGTGTCAGAGTTTGCATCGGATGTAGCATATCGCCATTCGGTTCCGTCATAGTCTTCTACCAGACCGTACTCGTCGTATCCGTCACTTTCGTCCACCAGATTCGCATTGACCGAGCCCGGTGAATTCCCTGAAGTGCTGGATGTGTCAGAAGCACTCTCGCCGTCCGAGTCGTGGATAGTGTACCACTGCAACTGCCGCTGCACAATATCGACGTTGTCCACACATTCTTCCAGCATCTCATCGACGACACAGTCGTAAGCGAATGGTTCCTGCCCGAAGTTAATGTGGATGGCATCTGACGAGTCCAGCCCGACTGCAGGATACCACTGCTCATGCACACACTCAATGTTGCTGTTGTCGTTTTGGATTATCTCGCCGTTGTTCGTGAACATGACGAAGGAGCGACCGTCACGCATATTTCGCCGCACACCGCAGCCAATAGTGTCATTGATGCCGAATGCAGGACCGAATTGACGTCCTCGGTTGGAGTGGAACATCTGGCCGTCATCACCATGATATCCGTAGGAGCGGAAGTCCCATCCCGGCTGTCGGTCCACGAGTGGGAAGCGCGACGTCACCAGTCCAATGGAAGTCACATCCTCTCCATGTACTCGTCGCGCTGATGGCTTTATACGTTTGGTGATGGAGATCTCGAAGTAGCCACTGGAGACCACACCGACATGGTACTCGAACTTCTTTGTCTGCTGGTTCTGGCGCTTAAACACTGCGACGTGGAATGAGGTAGGGAAAGCGACATTAGACCTCACGCAGCGATCGTCGCCCAGGATGTCGCCGTCGAAGCCAAAGTCCACCACCTCAGACGGCTTCACAGGTTGCGCATGAAGGGGCGCGACACTGAATACCAGACCAAGCAACAAACGTTAGGATTAACACAACCGATTGAGTTCATGCAACAAAACCAACTGACTTTTGTTCCAGCGCTAAACTGCCTCTGTAGTGTCGTGTCTGCTGGATATCTGCGTACGCCGGCAGCGGCGTGATCGCGTGCGCCAGCAGCTGGTACATGCGGCTCTCGCTGGTGTCGCTAGGGAAAAGCTTTCGCGTTTGCTCTGAAATCACAAGCGGAACGGAGCCACTGCGTGCGCCTGGCAGACGGAAGTTGAGCGTCTCCCAGCGGTGACAGAACAGCGCCTTCCACACAGGAAACCGTGGCAGCACCGTGCGCGCCGTGAACTTGGACGCACACGTGAAGGACTCGACGTCTCGAGGAGCAGCGAACGACAGCAGTTGTGCCACCATCTCGTCGTCCAGCGCGTAGATCGGCGCCATCTTGCTCTTGGGGGTACGGAGATATTGAACTAATGAACTGGAAGTCCTCTCTCGACTCGAATCTGGTTGGCGCTGCTGCAAGGACAAGCACATTCATGCGAAAGGTTGCAATGCCTCGCGGTGCTTCAGAGATACGGTGAGCAATCCTTTTGATAATCAAGGCGATTCCTCCCAAAACACGATAAAAGGATTGCAAATTCTAGTTGGGAGAGTGTTAAGTATGTAAAAACTCAACTCAGTACTCTCATTACCTTTCATTACGAATGAGAATATGAGACAAAGTCGCGACGTGACAGTCTGATTAAAGTCGTCGACAGCGTCGACGTGGCCAACGCGTGCGTGGCGCAATAACAAGCACACGATTAGCTGTCATTCTCTACGATATTCCTGATGGGCCCATGGCTGCCCTCACTCCTCCAGCCAATGGGGCCAATGCGATAGCAAATCTAGCTAATAAACGCCTTCTTCAGCGACTTGGCAGTGCAGGCACCGGCGGACGTCATGATCTGCTCGCCCTTGTACGTCGCCACGCAGTTGTCGTCGGTCACGAAGTCCGGCGACACCTTCTCCAGCACCTTTTGCTTCTTGATCTGAGCCGCCGACAGCGGCTCGCCGCTCTCGGACGCGATCGTCACGCGCTCGCCCACCTTGGCGTCGGTGGGGGGCTCCACGAACTGCACGTTCTCGTGAGCCTCATCGCATGCGCACAGCACCATGCCGTGCGACTTGAAGCCTCCCAACTTGGCCGGCTTCAGGTTCAGCAGCACCAGCACCTTGCGGTTCTGCATTTCCTCCAGTGAATAAAATGCCTGCAGACCGGACGCGATCTGCTTGGGCTCCTCCTCGCCAATGTCGATCTCCTCACAGTACAGCTTGTCCGACTCCGGGTGCTTCCACACCTTGGAGATCACACCCACGCGGATGTCAAGCGACGCGAAGAGCGGCGTAGCAGCCTTCGCGGGCTTGGCTTTCGCAGGCTTGGCCTTGGCAGCGGCGGCCTCGCTCTGCTTCTGCTTCTCCTCCTCCGTTAGAATTTTGTTGAACAGAATGCCACCAATGGACACCTCAGTACCAGGCTTGAGGTTGTCGTAGTCCGGGGACAGCGCCGTCAGCGTCGTGGGGGCCGTACCGAGCTTCTCAAAGATAACTTGGGCAGTCTTAGGGATGATGGGGCTCAGGTAGTGAGCCAGCACGTAAATGGCTTCCAGACACGTGCGCACTACGACGAGACGGGGCTCGTTCTCCTTCATGTGCCACGGCTCCTTCTCCGTCAGGTACTTGTTGGTGTCCTTGAGAGCGTTCACAATCGCAATGCAAGCATTCTGCAGTGCAAAGTCCTTGTACGAGTCCTCCGAGTACTTCAGCAGCTCGTAGATGTCGAAGGGCTTGTCAGCCTTGGCTTCGGGCACAGCACCATTTGAGTACTTCTTGCAGATGTTGACAGTGCGGTGCACCAGGTTGCCCAGCGTGTCGGCGAGCTCCGAGTTGTGAATGTTGATGAGATCATCCTCCGAGAAGGGCATGTCCTGGCCGAACTTCGCCGAGCGCACAATGAAGTAGCGGAACGACTCCAGTCCGTACTTTTCGATCATCGCATACGGGTCGATGACGTTGCCCACGCTCTTGCTCATCTTGGAGCCGTCCTTGGCGTTCACGAAGCCGTGAGCGAACACACGCTTGGGCAGGGGGATGCCTGTGCTCATCAGGATGCAGGGCCAGATGACGCAGTGGAACCACGTGATGTCCTTGCCAATAATGTGCACGTTAGCAGGCCAGTAGCGAGCGTCCGGGCCGTCCGGGTAGCCGATGGCCGACAGGTAATTGGCCAGCGCATCGAACCACACGTACAGTACGTGCTTGGGGTCGTTGAGGATCGGAATGCCGTGCGTGAAGGTGTTACGCGAGGCCGAGAGGTCCTGAAGCGGCTCCTGAAGACGACGTAGCAGCTCCTGGCGACGCACCTCTGGCTGCAGGAATTCGGGGTTCTCTTCAATGTGCTTGACCAGACGGTCCTGATACTTGGACATCTTGAAGAAGTACGACTGCTCTTGCATCTTCTTAAACGGTGTACCTGTGGTAGGGTCCTTGTAGTCCGTAAGCTGGGCCTCCGTTTCGGTCACGAACATCTCCTCACGCACGTTGTACCATCCCTCGTAAGTTCCGAGGTACACGTCGCCCTTGTCGAGCGCTTGCTGGAAGAGCCACTGGGCGAACTTCTTGTGCACGTCGCTGGTGGTGCGGATGAAGTTATTGTTGCTCATGTTGAGGTCCTTGGTGAGCTGCTGGAAGATGCCGGCGTACTTGTCCACGAGTTGCTGGGGCGTCACACCAGCGGCTTCAGCCGTCTGCGCGATCTTCTGGCCGTGCTCATCCGTGCCCGTGAGGAAGTACACGTCGCGACCGAACACGCGGTGGTAGCGCGAGATAACGTCCGCACACACGTTCTCGTAGGCGTGACCCATGTGCGGCAGGCCATTCGTGTAGTGGATGGCCGTCGTCAGGTAGAACGTCTCCTGCGAAGGCTTAACTGCCTCTAACTTCGTCTGCAGCTGCTCCACGCGCGCATCCTGCTGCTGCTGCGCCACCTCCAGCTTGTCCACGCGGGCAGCGAGGTCCGCGGTCGTCGACATGTCTAGTTACGTGCTTGGGTTGGCTGATTCGCTTCTGCTCGGGCAAATCCTTCCCCTCGACTGGTTCCCACAAGCATATTCCAGGCAAGTCTGACTTGTCCGAACAAACCCAGATCTCCGCATATGAAAATACGTGTAGCATACATCTCTACTAATAATCCAAATTGGCGCGTTCAAATTTCCCGCGTGAATTCAATATCCGCATCGACGCCGCGTCGCACACGAACGCCATGGTGCTGCACGCCAGCAGCTCCAGCTCTCTCTCGAGCGTCGCCACCGACAAGCGCAGTATGGCGTACAGCAGCAGCAACAACAGTACTACCCTCCATAGACTCACCGATGATCCGGGTTCCTTCGGCTCCATGCTGGACCAGCTACATGCCGAGCAAAAGGGCACTATCGAAGCACTGACTTGCCAAGTCGAGTTCTACCGCCAACGCGAAGAGCGCGCTCGTCAGGAGCTCACGACCCTGCGGCGCTGCTTGCCACTGGCCAAGGGTGACGACGCCTCCGCGTCCGTGGCCAAGCTGGCGAGCGAGAACCGCGCGCTAGGCGACGAGCTGGATGCTCTGCGCGCCAAGAAGTGCAGCTGGGACAGGGAACGTGCGCGCCTCGAGCGTCAAAAGAAAGAACTTGACCGCCAGCTAAGGGACTCCAAGCAGACTCTCACGAGCTTCTCGCAGGCTATTGAGCAACTGGAGATCAAGATGCAGCGCAAGGAGGCCGAAGTACAGACACGCTGTCTCGAACTGGAGCAGAAGTTGGGCGACAAGACGAATGAGTGTGAACAGCTACAGCAGGATAAGGCGAACATGCAGCAGCAACTGGAGAACCTCCAGACAGCCAGCGATGAGAACGCGCGACTGCGAGCTGAGTTGCGGACGCTGCTACAGACTACAGGACGCAACTTCAACGAAAGCGCGAGTAGCTCACGGTTCTCGTCGGAGATTAATAGTATCAGTGAGAAGTTTAGCAGCTTGGAAGATGAGAACCGCAGACACGAAGCAGAGATCCAGGAGCTGCAGCGGAGATTGGCAGCCTCTGCTGCGGAGGTGTCGATGGCTCAGCTGGAAATTGAGCGCAAGAACAGCGAGATCAAGGAGATGCAGCTGAAGCTAGACAACTCGACTAATATGCTGACCCTTCGAGAGCAGTTGCTGGTGTCGGACGGCAGTTCCAGGAAAGAGATTGAGGCGCAGCGACAGGAGCTTTCGACGCTAGTGGCGACCTTGCAGCGTGAGAAGAGCGAGCTACAGAGCGAGATCTCCAGTCTGCACAGGGAACAAGAGGTCACCAAGGCTGAACTACAGACGGTGAAATCTCGTCTATTCACGAAAGATCATTCGTTGCTCGTATCCACACTACGCAGTGAAGTGGCTTCTCTAAAGGAGCGCCTTCGCAGCGAATTTATGCACGAGAAGGACAGTTTGAAAACGGAGACGCAGACTTTGAGGCAAGAAATCACGCTGCTACGAGGACGCTTGGCAGATAAAGACCTTGCAGCCCGCAGTCTCGAAAATGAGCTGGTTCGCACCGACGAGAAGCAGAAACAGGCAGATTACGATATCCGACAGTTGAAGGAGCAGATCTACCGACTGGAAACTGAGCTGGACCAGTCCCGATCCAAGTACCAGCAGCTTCAGCAGTGCCGAACGTCGTTAGCTGAGCAGCTGGACTTTGGATTTAAGGAACTGTTGGATGACGAGGAGAGTGCGGCATCAGCACACGAAGAGTTGGAGAAACTTCGGAGCGAACTCAGTCGTATTAAGAAGGAAAATGCTGCTCTAGAAACTGAGCGACAAACGTTCATGGAGGAGCAGGAGCGCGTTGACTGTATCAATCGTGAGTCTTCCATGCGCCAGAATGAGAAGATCGACGAACTGTATCGCCAACTGATGGAGAAGGAGGAGATCATCACGTCGTTGAAGAATGCCGAACGCCAAGTCGCTTTGCTGCAACAGGAAAAGGAATCGTGGGAGGGTAACGTCACTGACGTTCGCTTACGATGTGAAAGTCGAGTGGAATCGGAAGTGCGTAAGGCTGATGGTCTCCGCTCTCGGATTGAGCAACTGGAGCAGGATAAAGCGTCACTGAAGCAGCAGATCGACGCTCTCGAAGAAGAAAGCGCAACTTGGAATGAGAAGTTGCACATGTCCGAGCTATCTCTCAGCCAGAAAGACCAGGTGGTACAAGAACTCAAGCGCGACATCGCTCGTCTTGAAGAGGAGTTGGCTGACGCAACCCAGCGCGTTGACAGCGGACGTCAAGAGATCACGACCCGCGAACAGAAATTGTTGAAGGAGCGCAAGAAAATGGAGCGCGAGATGGTTCAGCTTGTACACCGAATCGAGATCGCTGGCCAGCGTAACTTCGAGCTGGGTGAGAAGGTTATTGCACTTGCAAAGCAGTCCAAAGTGGATCAAACGGACCGTGTGGCGTTGAGTTCTCAAGTGAAGAGCTACAAGGATCAGGTGAAGACACTGGAAAATCAACTTGGACAGATTCATCGTCGCAATGGACAGGAATTCGATACCGTTCGAGACTTTCAGCGGAAACTGGATGATGTTACATGCTTGAAGGAGAGCTATCACGTAGAGATCAACAAGCTGCGACAGACGCTGGAGCATGTGCAGAACGAGTACGGTGTGGCAAAGCAGCAGCGCGATGAGGCTATCAAGCGTGTCCGACTTCTCGTGCAGTGCCGAGATGAAATGAAGGTGACAGCAGAGGACCACACGACGGAGCTGGTGGAAGAGATCGAGGCGCTGCAGCATCAGATGGACAGCGAACGCAAAAGGTGTGCAGTGCTGCTAGCCAACGAGAAGACACTATTGCGTGATCTCCAAGAGCGGAACGCTGCCATCACGAAGCTGCAGCGCACCATTTCAGTGCTTCAGCATCAAATCCACGATAAACCCAGTAGCAATGATCGATCCAGTAGCTCGATTTCTGGTCACAGACGGCGATCTCGTGGTAGTAACAGTGCTGGCTCACCGGTGAGCAGCAGCAACCAGTCCACAGTTCCCACAACGAGCTCCCCGTCTCCTCACCGCCGCCATAGCCGTCATTCCGAGCCACAACAGCAGCAACAGCAGCAGCAGCAACAACTTCATTCTAGCTTGGCATCGAGCAGCGGGTTCACCATGACGCCGGCGAAGGAGATGGAGCATCTACTGAGCAACTTGGAGCACATCTCGGACTTCTCAGCTCAAATGCAACAGCTCCAGCCTTAATTTATTGCTAGTCGGTAGGAAATAGTGTTGTACCGGTAAATGTAATCGTGTAGCAAACAACAACGCAATTTTGTCTAGGATCTTTCAGAGGCGGAAGCTGAAGTTGAAAACGGTCCATCGACACGTCGTGCAATTGTGTTAATCGCGTTGTTGTTGCAGTCGCTCGTCGTCCACCAACGATCCAGCGAGGGATGTCGTGCTCGAATTGGACTCGAAGGCACGCTCGGCGAGAAAACGTGTGTGTCTCGGCGAGACTCTTGCTGATCGAGCAGCTTCCTCGGGCCAAGTTTCGAGAACCGGTTCGCCGGTATCCGCCCGGATCTGTACGTGGAAAATAGGGAGCAACACCAGTAAACGAATGCCAAGTTGCCAACGACCGTACCAATCGCTTTGCAGTGCAAATTGCGTCGCCCTCGCAATCCGATGTCGCACATTTCACGCTTACGCACGTCGCTATAGAGCTCGAATTGACCCCGTCAGCGTCAAAATCAGTAGCCGTCCGAGCATAAGTTAACGATGGATGGTGATATATAATGCACTTTGCCTCCGCTGCAACTAGAAGCACGGCTTCGGCGGGTAGCGAGCGTCTCCTAAAAATCTGCTGCAAGACCAGTTGAAGTGTCATTTTGGCCACGTCACTGGGAAAATTCGTTGCCACGCATGAGCGTGTGTAACGGACGTGGCATACAAATAGCAAGTACAGTTTACGTACGTTTTGTGTACTAGTGGTTTTTTCGAGCGTCCGCCCCTTTGTTAGCTCCGTCACAAGTAGATCGGCCGACGTCCAAGCAGCTTCGAAGACAGCGACCATGAGCAACGAGCACGCGGGCGACGCGCCCGACTGGATGCAGGAGCAGGCGGCAGAGTACCAGGATCTGGTGGGCAGCTTCGTGGAGTCTGTAGTGGACTCGGACACAGATGAGATCCTCGAGTACCAGCTCATTTGGGAAGGTGGAGACTTGGGTGTAGCACTTACGACGCTAGAGGGCGAAGATGGCGGCGTGGCCGTCAGTCGTGTGACTGGCAAAGGTTTCCCCTTTGGCATCAAGAATGTCGGACCGGGCGATCTGCTGCTCTCCATCAATATGAAGGACACAACCAAGATGACGCTGGACGACGTCGTAGCGTACCTGCAAGTGTGCGATCTACCGGCCACGCTGCGTTTCAAGAAGCTCTCGCCTGTCACGGACCAGCCACCCGTCTCAGTACCCAGGAAGAGCACGTATGTCATCACCAGCGGCGCGCAGGGTCCTACCAGCCCCATGGGCTCCCAGGCACCGCCATCGTACCCTCGCGGCTCGCAGAGAGGCTCCACCAAGTACGCGCCGCCTCCTGCAGCTCCTTCACACCCTGATCGTGCCTCCATGCCCGTGCACAAGACGCCGTCGGACTTCCCTGAGCCCCCGGCACCGCCTCAGCGTCAGAGTGCCAAGGTGCCGGCTACCCAACAGATGATGGAGTCGCCCCCCAAGCCAGCACCGACGCCTGTCCCCGCGCCGGTGGCATTTACGGATAAACCAACGTACGTAAAGCCTACTACAGAGGAGGATTATCAGTTGGTGGCGCCGAGCTCTCCACACAAGGCCAAGTCAGACAAGCAGAAACCTGCTGCACCGCCTGTTGCACCGGAGGAGTCGCTTCGTGAGTTGGACGGCCTTGTCCTCACCTCGGGAGTCAATGACCTGGGCTTCGAAGACTCAGAGGACGAATCTGTGCGCGCATCGCGTGAGTCGCGTGATTCGTGGCGTGACGAGAGCTTCGATGTGGATGCCAATCATGGCGACTGGAAGATCGAAGAGGAGGAGAAGGAAGATGTTCCGCACGTGGACAAGAAGAACAGCAAAGATCGTGCCAAGGAGCGATTCCAGCGTGACAAGAGCGGCTCAACAGTTGCGATGCTTGGCCATTTCTCCGTGGAAACGAAAGGGGATGGCGTGCCGATTCTTCCTGACGCTGAGGAGGCGACGGGCATCGCGCTGATTGACAATGTGAGCGATTTCTCGCCGGAAACCCACCCGTCACCTGCTCACGCCAGCGGTCAAGTGCGTCCGTCCGACGTGTCGTCTGGTTCAATGGTGTCTTCGTTGAATTCTTCCATGAACAACACGATGAATACGGATGCTCCTCGGCCGTCAGTGCGCGTGACGATGGACAGCACGGCGCCAATTATGAAGAGCCACCCGATCGGTACACTGCACGAGATGTGTGCGAAGGGAAATCTTCGCGGCGTGGTACAGCATTTACGCGTAGACGGCCCCGAGGCTCTGTTGAACCGCGAGCCGAACCACGGTCAGACAGGTCTGCATCTTGCAGTTAAGAGCGGCAAGGTGCCGCTTGTGAAGGTCATTCTGGAGCAGTACAAACCGCTTGAAGATATCATCAACGTTGAAGACGACAAGGGCAACACAGCGCTGCACTTTGCTGCCACCAAAACACCGGCCATGGTGCATCTGCTGCTGGAGAACGGAGCTAGCGCCAACGTGAAGAACAGCCGCAAGTTCACGCCGTTGATCATCTCGGTGATCACTTCCAAGGATGACAGCGTCATCATCCCCCGTATGCTACTCAAGTTCGGTGCTAACCCGAACGACATGCACGACAGTCAGACTGTTATTCACACTGCTATCAGCACTGGACGATTGCAAATTGCCGGTGCACTGGTGCGTGCAGGTGCCAAGATGGACGTGGAGGACGCCGAGGGAAAGAGCGTCTTCGAGAAGCTGCCCCGTAAGGATCTGCGTTACCTGATCTCTCACATTTACTTTCCCCCCACATACATCACGAGGAAGGAGCGCAGCGAGTGCATGTTGTGTCGCCAGAAGTTCAAGTTTGGTCACCGCGAGCACAACTGCACGCACTGCGGTCGCCTTTGCTGCGCCGAATGCTCTGCGCTGCACGTCGAGATGGTCAAGTTCCCCATGGGCTTCCCCGGCCGCACGCGTCGCGGAGCAGCCAACCGCGAACAGAAGCGCGTGTGCAAGACGTGTTACAACGTGTTCAAGGAGCGCAATGATGAGCCGGAGAAGAGCGACATGACCAAGTTCATTAACCGCGTGATCAACATCGAGTGGGACGAAGTGAACCCCGAAAAGCTCCAAAAGGCGCAGGAGGCAGGTCGTCGCGGTGAGAAGTAAGCAGGTGTAGAAAGTGTAGACCGCAGCAGGGATCAAGTCTTGCACCACGGAGGAAGTGGTCGATAGAAAGAGAGGCCCCACCGTACTAAATCAAACCATCGTTGTGCAACAAGATTCCGGCGCTCGATTGGCGGTCACAGTCAAACTTGTTACTGTTTAAACGCCAATTCTAGCTGAAAATGTTGAAATCCAGAAGTTAGGACTACAACGCGATCTGCTGGATCTATATCATCAGTGGCATGATATTGTTTTAGAACGATTGCGCTATAGATTTCCTAGCGTCGTGGTGGCCCAGTTTCAAGTAGTCCCGAGCCGCTTATGCGGCGTAGTCGCTCCATCGATGCATTTCAAAGACTGTCAGAGCTGTATTTTAAAGGTTCGGCGAGCTGTGCACTTTGAAAAGTAAAAATAGGTATTGTGTACTTTTCTTGACCCACTACCTACAGACGACCCCCTCGGCAGTCATAGCGCTGCTAGCCCCAATTTATTCCCGTCTAAAGGTATTCCTATGCTTGGAACAGTGCACAAAATTTACTAATAGAGACGAATGATGTAGCTCCTTACTGGCGTTCCACCATGTTTTGCTCTCCTATTGCCAGTTTTACACCAAGATACACTCCTCTCTAGCCCAGTCAGTCCGCTTCACACCCACCAACACTCAACGACTGGTGTACAAATATGCTAGCACCATGCTCACATCCCTAATTTGTCCCCAAACAGAGCTAGATTCATAGGCTCACAGAATCTAGCATCTTCCTCCACAAGCAATGAAATGATAGCTATTAATGCGCTGAAGAGGGCTGGAGCCACCTCCGGTCTCGTAGTTGCCTCAAAATTTGCTGCACGCGGCGTGCCATCCTAAACTCGACAAGTTCCTTGCCAGTTGGGTATCCTGGTGTAAAGAGAATGGTGTCACCGTCACGGATGAGGTAATTAGACTAAAGGCAGAGTCCTTCTTCGTTGTCTTACAGCTCGAGTCACGTCCAAAGTGGTCAAAAGGATAGGCTTCATCGATTTAACACTCGTTTGGAACATTCGGATCGCTCTTGTGCAGTTATGGCTGTTCCCATAGTTAATCACCCCAGAATAGGAATATTTGACAAAGCCGCGCTTCGCACGGAACAGCTCTGGATTTTGTGCGACTAAAGCTTTGTTGTCGTCATGGACGTAATGCACATGTAGGGCGCTCAGACAATTTACATACACTCAACTCTGACTGATCGAAGTTCGTGCATCGTAGAGAAAGCATTCTGATGTCGCGTCATCGTCAATTTTACTGGCACATGTAGGTAGTTCAAAACCAATAACTAAAACGATCTGGAAAGGGAGGCCGTTAATGCAGAGCTGCTTAAAAAAACGAATTTATTATCAGTGAAAAATAGTTAGCCTCGACAAAGCGCTCCGATATTAAAAAAACAATGCTTAAACTATGATGATTGTTTTATAGCTTCATTTGCAAGAGTTGGAGATAAGGAAGTGCATCTGCAAATGTAGAAAGCTCATAAGGCCAAAGTCACTATGAAAGCCTATATAATTAATCGTGGGCGGAATTTACCGGACGCCTATTGGAACTTTCAGGACAACAAATTCTGAGAGGTTTGCATTACTGATTAGTATTGCCCGATGGAGAAGAGCAGCATGCTGGGGTCGTATGGTGTAACGGGGTACAAACCCCAGTGTACCCAAGTTACATGAAGAGTGACCAGTCACTCTTGTAATACCTGGTACATGGTACCAGGGGCTCTAGGAG